GCCCCGCCACAGCCGAGATGACCCGGGGGAAGCAGGTGCCTTCCGGCGCCCAGAGCCTCCTGCACGCTTCCGCAGCCCGCGGCAACCTTCCAAGCTCTTCCCACCGGGTCCAGCCTCCTTCGTGCTCTACCCGGAAGGCATCCCTTTGCCCTCCGACCTGCTCCCGCAGCAGCCGCCCAATTTGAGCGACTCCTCCAGGCGCCGGGTGGAATATATCAGAGGAGCGAATTCGAGGGCTGGCCTCCAGCCCACATCAGGCCCCATCCGCAGGGTCGATACCCAGCACCCACACCAGGTATCATCCCCCTACCCTATTCGGCTCCCTGCTGGGTCACAGGAACGCCGTCGCCGTAGAAGGCGCTCAAGCAGACGGATTCAGCATACCCAGAGCCAAGAGTAGCCAGACCTCCACTTAGGCCCCTTTCACAGCATGTCTCCAATGCACTGGAGCTGGCTGAACGCAGTCCTGCTGCAAGTTGGAGCCTTTAAGTGTTTTATTGTCAATGGGGAACGACGGGCACACATCGTTTTTCTGCGTTTCTACACCGCCAAGAGAAGGCCTGGACCCGGGAGACCTCATGATCCTCCTCTTAGCACCTGTGTGAAAATGAACTCCATGAGAAAAGATGTTACTGTCATTTAAAAAAATAATAAGTTATCGGAATGTACATCTTCAAGTAGTATCCTCCACTGGCGTTCTTCCTTTAAAAAACTAAAACAAACCCAAAAGGTAAAAAAATTTGATCCACAACTTTTCTGTTCAATTTCACCATTTCTATTCAACTTCACAGATTTTGCATGTGTTCATAGAACTTGGTCACCAAAGCTTTCACCATAAGTTTCCTTGGAGATTTTATTACTGTATATTTGTGTTTCAAAATAGAATTTGTCCTTTTTTGAAAAGTATTCACTAATGCAAGGTGGTTTTCTACTAGGATCATAATCTTTACTCAGTTTCATGAAATGCCCAATCTTTTTTTCACTAGACTTTTTTGGTTTTATGCACACTCTCTTTCCTGGAGACTGAACTCAGGACCTTCGAACTTAGCTGCATCCTTAGCCCTTTATTATGTGGTTTGGTTTTATGTTTGTTTGTGGGTCATTGTTGCTGTTATTTTGCTTTGTTTTAACTTTTTGAGACAGGGTCTCACCGAGTTGCTAACTTGTCCAGGCTGGACTTGAATTTGTGATCCTCCTGCCTCAGCCTGTCCAGAATGCTGGGATTACGGACTTGCACCATCAGTTAAGGCTTAAAATAGACTTTCAGAGCAATTTAGGTTCACAACAAAATTGAATGGAAAATATCAGCGAAGTTTCCAGAAACTCTGATTCCACACAGTCACAGCCTCTCTACTAACATTCCACGTCCCACGTAGCAAGTTTGTTGTCTTTGGTGACCCTAAACTAGCATGTTATTATCTCCCCAACTCCATAGTTCACCTTAGAGTTCACTCTTAGTATTGGACATTCTACAGGCCTTGACAAATGCTTAAATGACATGTACCTGTCATTATAACACACAGGATGGTTTCACTGCACTAAAAGGCCTCTTTCATACCTCTCCTTCCAAATCCCTGGAAACCACAGGTCCATAATTATCTCCACAATTCTGTCCTCTCTAGAATGTTATAGATATACAACATGTAGCATTTCAGATTGACTTCTTTCACTTAGTAATATGCATTTAAGTTTACTCCATGTATTTTTATCGCTTCAAAGTTCATTTATTTTTAGCATTGAATAATATTCTTTTGTCTACCGTTGTAACACTTTTTACTGATCCATTCACCTACTGAAGGACATTTTGGTTGCTTCTAAGTTTTGACAGTTATGAATAAATTACTTTAAATATCTGTTTGCAGACTTTTATGTGGACATAGTTTTTAATTCATTTGTGTAAGTGTCAAGGATGCAATTGCTGGATCATGTGGTGTGCATGTTTAGTTCTGTAAGAGACTTCCCAACAGGAAGTGTACTAGAATGTTTGCCTAGCATGTGTGAATGCTTGGGTTCAATCCCCATTACTCAAACAAGAAACAAAAATGCAAACACACACCTGCCAGACTGTCTTCCAAAGTGACTGTACCATTTTTCATCCTCATCAACAATAAATACGAGTTCCTATTGCTCTTTAATCCTTCCAAGCTTTTGCTATTTCCAATGTTTTGTAATTTTCCTGAAGGATGTAAAATCTGTGTCCATAAATTTTTGTTGTTGTTTGCACAAGGTGTCCAGTTCCAGCACTACTTACTGGAAAGGTTGTTTTTTCTCCATTTTTTGGCCTTTGCTACTTGGCCAAAGAAAGATCAGTTGACTGTATTGCTGTGTACTATTTAAGGGCTTTCAACTCTGTTGTTTTGATACATATATTCTTTCACAAATACCACATTACCTTGATTAATACACTAAATTTATGGGTAAGTCTTCAAGTCAAGTACCTTCAGTCTGGTGATTTGTTCTCTCTCAGTACTATATTGGCTACTGTGGTTTGTTTGTTTGTTTTACCTGTCCATATAAGATATTAGAGTCTAACAGTGTCTATAAACAACTTGTTGCAATTTGCATTGGGAGTATATTGAATCTACAGATAAAATTTGGAAAAACCAGCATGTTGATGATTTGAGCTTTCTATCATTGAAAATGGATCATCACTCCGATTATTTCTTTCTTTGATTTATTTGAGCTTTTACATTTTTTATAGACATACAGATTTTAAACAAATTTTGTTAGGATTTATACATTAGCATTTCACTTGTGGATTTTTAAATTTCAAATTATAATTGTTGCTTGTATATCAGAAAGCAGGGACATTTGAATATTTACTGCATATCTTTCAACTTTAAGCACTTATTCCAAAAGTTTTTTGGTTGATTAATTTGGATTTTCTACATACTCTCATGTCATCTATAAATAATAAGTTTTATTTCTTCCTTCCAAATCTGTATGTCTATTATTGCATTAGCTAGGATTTCCAGTATAATGTAGAAAAGGAGTAGTGTCAGGAGATATCTTTGCCTTCCTAATCTTAGTGGGAAAGTTTCTAGTGCCTCACCATTAAGTGTGATGTTAGCTCTAAGATTATGGTCTTTTTTTTTTTTTTTTTCAAGTAAAGAAATCCTCTATTTTTGGTTTTGTTAAGGAGTTGCTATTGGATTTTGTCAAATGCTCTTTCTACATTTATTGATCTGATTATATGATTTTTCTTCTTTAGCTTGTTTGTGATGAAAGTACATTAAATGATTTTTGAATGCTGAATCAGCCTTGTATATCTGGGATACATCCCAGCTCACCATGTTGTATGATTGTTTTTATGTTGTCAGAATGGATTTCTTCATTATTTTGTTGGCAGTTTTTTGTATCTATCTAACTTAGAGTTACTGATCTGTACATTTCTTTTAATGTCTTATCTGATTTTGGTATTAAGAGAACTACTGGTCTCATAGAATGAGGCCGGAAGTATTTTCTATGTTTCTGTCTTCTGGGAAATATCATAGAGAATTGGTGTAATTTCTATCTAGAATTTGGTAGAATTCACCAATGACCCCTATCTGGGCTTGTTGTTTTCTGTTTTGAAAGGTTCTCTGTTGTTTTTTATTTATTCTAATTTCCCTTTTTTTATCTTAGTTATCTTAGTTATCCTTGCAAGAACCTTACTGATTTTATTGATCTTTTCAGAGAGCAAGTTTTTGGATTTGTTGTTTATTTCTATTGGTTTCTTTTTTCATTTTGTTTTGTCTCAAATTTGTATTATTTCTTTTCTTCTGCTTTAAATTTCCCTTTTCTATTTTAGATTTCCTAAGATAAAGGCTAAATTGTTTATTTTAAAACTTTCTTTTTTCCTAATATATGCATCCGATGCTATAAATTTCTAATCACTGCTGCTGCTATATCCCGCAAATCTTGATAAACTTTATTTTCATTCCCATGTGTTATTTACAAATGTAGCATTTAATTTCCCAAGTGTTTTGGACTTTTCTATGTTTTTGTTTGTTTGTTTGTTTGTTTTGGTACCAGGGGTGGAACTCAGGTCCTTGCACTTGTGAGTTTAGCTTGAGTGGAACCACTGAGCTAAATCCCTGGCCCTATGTTTTGCTATTAATTTCTACTTTACTTTCATTGTGGATGAGAGTAGACATCTATTTTTTAAATAGATTTAGGTTCATTTTATGGCCCAAAATATGGTCTTTCCTAGAAAATGTTCTATGTGAGCTTGAAAAGAATGTGTGCTGTATTCTGCTGTAGTTGGAAGAAATATTTTATAGATGTCATTTATGTGCAGTTGATTGATGGTGCTGTTGAGTTCAACTAAGTCTTTATTGCCTGCTGGCTCTCTCCATTGTTGACAGAGAGTGTTGAAGTTTCCAACTATGATAGTGGATTTATCTGTTTCTGCTGGGAGTTCTATCATGTTTTGTCTCTGTCTGTAGCATTTGGATATGACATTATGCACTATCATATCTTATTAGAAAATTGGTTCTCTTGTTATTGTATTTTTATTATCATGAAATACCTCTTGTTATACATGATAACTGTCTTCTTTAAAATGTGCCCTAACTGAATTTAATGCAGCCTTCTTTTAATCATTGGTATCATGAAATATCCTTCTGCCCTTTACATTTAATGTATGTGTGTCTTTATATTTAAAATGAGTTTATGATAAAAAATATAGTTGGGTCTTTTGATCCAATCTGATGACTTATTTTAGTTGCTGTATTCAAACCAATGGTATTTAAAGTAATTATTGGTATTATAGGATTAATATGTGCATGTTTCTTACTGCTTTTACTGATCGTTCTTGTTCTTTTTGCTGTCTGCAACATTTTTGCCTCTTACAGCTTTGAGCATTTTGAGCTTTTGTCTTTTCTTATCATATCAATTAGACTTCTTACTTATTTACTTTTCTTTACTTTTTTAAAAAGTAGTTGTCCTAAAGCTTTCAATAAACATTTACAACTAATCCTACTCTATCTTAGAGTAACACTATACTGCTTCACAGTTATGTAATGCTATATATAATCTCCAGTCACCAAATATATTATTGCTGTTATCTTGAACAAACTGTTATCTATTCAAATAAGAAAAAAAAAAATGAAAGTTTTATTTTACCTTTACTTATTCCTTCTTTATGGAGAACCAAGTTTCTGACATATACCATTTTCCCTTTTTGAAACAGTTCTTTAAACATTTTTTACAGGAGAATTCTGGCAACAAATACTCTCAATTTTTGTCTGAGAAAGTCTTCATTTCAACTTCACACAAAAAATAATTTACAGGAGATTTTTTTTGTTTTGTTGTTATTTCATTCATAACTTTAAATGTTTCACTCTATTGTCTATTTGCTTACAGGATTTTTTTTTTTTTTTTGAGACAGGGTCTCACTATGTAGTTCAGACTGCCCTG